TCATATCATAGATATTTTATCCTCTTGTCACGATGATCTTTCAACTTCACCCTGAAATTACTTGAACCTTTCAATAATTCAGACTCGTGATTCATCAGGTAAATATACTCAACATCTACTCAAATCATCTGTGAAGTAAGAACATAATGATATCCACTACACGCCTCAGCACTCATTGGACTGCACACATCAAAATGTATTACTTCCAACAAGTTGCTTTCTAGTTCCATTTTACTGAAAACGAGGCTTTCAGTCATCTTGCCCGTGTGGTATGATTTGCATGTCTCAAGTGATTCAAAATCAAGTGAGTCCAAACGGTCCATTTGCATGGAGTTTCTTCATGCATATACACCAATAGACATGGTTCGCATGTCTCAAACTTTTCAAAACGAGTGAGCCCAAAGATCCATCAACATGGAGCTTCTTCATGCGTTTTATACCGATATGACTTACGTGGCAGTGCCACAAGTAGGTGGTACTATCATTACTATCTTATATCTTTTGACATGAACATGTGTATCACTACGATCGAGATTCAATAAACCATTCATTTTAGGTGCAAGACCATTGAAGGTATTATTCAAATAAATAGAGTAACCATTATTCTCCTTAAATGAATAACCATATTGCGATAGACATAATCCAATCATGTCTATGCTCAACGGAAACACCAATCTCGATGGTAGAGGGAGCGTGCGATGCTTGATCACATCAAGCTTGGGAAAAACTTCCAACACATATCGCCAGCTCACCTTTAGCAAGTCTCCATTTACTCTGCAGCCTTTTATTTCGAGTTTACTAACATTTAGCAACCGAACCGGTATCTAATACCATGGTGCTACTAGGAGTACTAGTAAAGTACACATTAACACAATGTATATCCAATATACTTCTATCGACCTTGCCAGCCTTCTCATCTACCAAGTATCTAGGGTAATTCTGCTCCAGTGGCTGTTCCCCTTATTACAGAAGCACTTAGTCTCAGGTTTGGGTTCAACCTTGGGTTTCTTCACTAGAGCAGCAGCTGATTTGTCGTTTCATGAAGTATCCCTTCTTGCCCTTGCCCTTCTTGAAACTAGTGGTTTCACCAACCATCAACAATTGATGCTCCTTCTTGATTTCTACTTTTGTGGTGTCGAACATCGCGAATATCTCAAGGATCATCATATATGTCCCTGATATATTATAGTTCATCACGAAGCTCTAGCAGCTTGGTGGTAATGAGTTCGAAGAAACATCACTATCTCATCTGGAAGATCAACTCCCACTCGATTCAAATGATTGTTGTACTCAGACAATCTTGAGCACAAGCTCAACAATTGAGCTTTTCTCCCTTAGTTTGCAGGCTAAGAAAATCGTCGGAGGTCTTATACCTCTTGATGTGGGGCACGAGCCTGAAATTCCAATTTCAGCCCTCGAAACATCTCATATGTTTCGCAACGTTTCAAAACGTCTTCGGTGCCTCAACTCTAAACCGTTTAACTGAACTATCACGTAGTTATCAAAATGTGTATGTCAGATGTTCACAACATCCACAGACGACGTTTGAGGTTCAGCACACTGAGCAGTGCATTAAGGACATAAGCCTTCTATGAAGCAATGAGGACAATCCTCAGTTTACGGACCTAGTCCGCATAATTGCTACTATCATCTTTCAACTAAATTTTCTCCAGGAACATATCTAAACAGTATAACTGAAGCGCGAGCCATGACATAATTTGCGAAGACCTTTTGACTATGTTCAGGATAATTAAGTTCATCTTATGAACTCCCACTCAGATAGACATCCCTCTAGTCATCTAAGTGATTACATGATCCGAGTCAACTAGACCGTGTCCGATCATCACGTGAGACGGACTAGTCATCATCGGTGAACATCTTCATGTTGACCGTATCTACCATACGACTCATGCTCGACCTTTCGGTCTCTTGTGTTCCGAGGCCATGTTTGTACATGCTAGGCTCGTCAAGTCAACCTAAGTGTTTCGCGTGTGTAAATCTGGCTTACACCCGTTGTATGTGAACGTAAGAATCTATCACACCCGATCATCACGTGGTGCTTCGAAACGATGAACTTTCGCAACAGTGCACAGTTAGAGGGAACACTTTCTTGAAATTTTAATGAGGGATCATCTTATTTACTACCGTCGTTCTAAGCAAATAAGATGTATAAACATGATAAACATCACATGCAATCAAATAGTGACATGATATGGCCAATATCATATTGCTCCTTTTGATCTCCATCTTCGGGGCTCCATGATCATCATCTTCACCGGCATGACACCATGATCTCCATCATCATGATTTCCATCATTGTGTCTCCATGAAGTTGTCTCGCCCACTTATTACTTCTACTACTATGGCTACCGGTTAGCAATAAAGTAAAGTAATTACATGGCGTTGTTCAATGACACGCAGGTCATACAATAAATAAAGACAACTCCTATGGCTCCTGCCGGTTGTCATACTCATCGACATGCAAGTCGTGATTCCTATTACAAGAACATGATCAATCTCATACATCACATATCATTCATCACATTCTTCTTGGCCATATCACATCACATAGCAAATGCTGCAAAAACAAGTTAGACGTCCTCTAATTGTTGTTGCAAGTTTTTTACGTGGCTGCTATAGGTTGCTAGCAAGAACGTTTCTTACCTACGCAAAAACCACAACGTGATATGCCAATTGCTATTTACCCTTCATAAGGACCCTTTTCATCGAATCCGATCTGACTAAAGTGGGAGAGATAGACACCCGCTAGCCACCTTATGCAACTAGTGCATGTCAGTCGGTGGAACCAGTCTCACGTAAGAGTACGTGTAAGGTCGGTCCGGGCCGCTTCATCCCACGATGCCGCCGAATCAAGATAAGACTAGTAACGGCAAGATAATTGACAATATCGACGCCCACAACTACTTTGTGTTCTACTCGTGCATAGTAACTACGCATAGACCTAGCTCATGATGCCACTGTTGGGGAACGTAGCAGAAATTCAAAATTTTCTACGCATCACCAAGATCAATCTATGGAGTAATCTAGCAACGAGGGGAAGGAGAGTGCATCTACATACCCTTGTAGATCGCTAAGCAGAACGTTCAAGTGAACGGGGGTGATGGAGTCGTACTCGTCGTGATCCAAATCACCGATGATCCTAGTGCCGAACGGACGGCACCTCCGTGTTCAACACACGTACAGCCCGGTGACGTCTCCTACGTCTTGATCCAGCAAGGGGAGAAGGAGAGGTTGGGGAAGACTCCATCCAGCAGCAACACGACGGCGTGGTGGTGGTGGAGGAGCGTGGTACTCCAGCAGGGCTTCGCCAAGCACCGTAAGAGACGAGGAGGGAGAGGGGTAGGGCTGCGCCAACAAGAGAAGAAACTTCGTCTGTGGGCTGCTCCTTTGCCTCCACTATATATAGGGGGAGAGGGAGGGCTGTGCCCCCACCTAGGGTTCCACCCTAGGGGCGGCGGCCAGCCCAGATCCCATCTGGTGGGGCGTCCAAGGGGGGGAAGAGGGGAAACTTGCCCCCCCAAGCTAGGTGGGGCGCCCCCTCCCTAAACCCTAGGCACCTTGGGCCTTGGTGGGGGGCGCACCAGCCCACCTGGGGCTGGTCTCCTCCCACACTTGGCCCATGCAGCCCTCCGGGGCTGGTGGCCCCACTTGGTGGACCACCGGGACCCTCCCGGTGCTCCCGGTACATTACCGATAAAACCCAAAACTTTTCCGGCGACCAAAACAGGACTTCCCATATATAAATCTTTACCTCCGGACCATTCCGGAACTCCTCGTGATGTCCGGGATCTCATCCGGGACTTCGAACAACATTCGGTAACCACATATATCTATTCCCTATAACCCTAGCGTCATCGAACCTTAAGTGTGTAGACCCTACGGGTTCGGGAACCATGCAGACATGACCGAGATAACTCTCCGGTCAATAACCAACAGCGGTATCTGGATACCCATGTTGGCTCCCACATGCTCCACGATGATCTCATCGGATGAACCACGATGTCAAGGACTTAATCAATCTCGTATACAATTCCCTTTGTCTATCGGTACGATACTTGCCCGAGATTCGATCGTCGGTATCCCGATACCTTGTTCAATCTCGTTACCAGCAAGTCTCTTTACTCGTTCCATAACACATCATCCCGTGATCAACTCCTTGATCACATTGTGCACATTATGATGATGTCCTACCGAGTGGGCCCAGAGATACCTCTCCGTCACACGGAGTGACAAATCCCAGTCTCGATTTGTGCCAACCCAACAGACACTTTCGGAGATACCCGTAGTGCACCTTTATAGCCACCCAGTTACGTTGTGACGTTTGGCACACCCAAAGTATTCCTACAGTATCTGGGAGTTGCACAATCTCATGGTCTAAGGAAACGATACTTGACATAAGAAAAGCTTTAGCATGCGAACTACACGATCTTGTGCTATGCTTAGGATTGGGTCTTGTCCATCACATCATTCTTCTAATGATGTGATCCCGTTATCAATGACATCCAATGTCCATGGTTAGGAAACCGTAACCATCTATTGATCAACGAGCTAGTCACCTAGAGGCTTACTAGGGACATGGTGTTGTCAATGTATCCACACATGTATCTGAGTTTCCTATCAATACAATTCTAGCATGGATAATAAACGATTATCATGAACAAGGAAATATAATAATAACCAATTTATTATTGCCTCTAGGGCATATTTCCAACAGTGGGTTGTGCTCCCCTTGGAGCTCCCCTCTGGTACTTCCTTGGTTCATCGTGCGCCTTCTGGTCCAGAAAAAATATCCAAAAAGTTTTCGCTGTGTTGGACTCCGTTTGGTATTGATTTTCTGCGAAGTAAAAGACAAGCAAAAAACAGCAACTGGCACTAGGCACTATGTCAATAGGTTAGTCCCCAAAAATGATATAAAGTTGCTATAAAATGATTGTAAAACATCTGACAATGATAATATAACAACATGAAACAATAAAAAATTATAGATACGTTGGAGACGTATCAGGATCCATCTGGCACTCCACTTCCTGAGGTGATTGCAGACTTGTGTCGAGGTGACCTCTTGGCCACATGTCAAACACCTTCTTGGAAACAGATTTCAAGTGCACCTCCTTGAAGCCCTTATCAGTCCTTACCCTGTTGACTATGATCTTACATATTTGTTAAGCACGAAAGTAGTAAGAACGACTGACATTTCGTTGAGTTCCCCCTCCCAGCCATCTTTGCCCTCCTAGCCTTGGTGGTTGCCTTATGTGTAGAAGCAACAACATTAGACGCATCTGACACATATGTGCTAGGCACAAATGGTAGACGCCTTGCAGACCCCTCGAGGGAATCTAATTCAGAGATATCTGATCCTCGGTCATAGGCTAGGGCTCCTCAAAATAGGATGACGGGAATTGGCTCTCGAACAAGACAATGAAATGGCTAAAATCTTGCAGCCTCATGTCCTACAAGCGTTAGCGTCACGATTTGTGAAACACACTACACATGGACAGTAAGAAGGACCACTACGCATGGATAGTAAGCATATTACACATGGACCATGAAGTTCAACACATCACCCTATGACTGATCTTCAATCTCATAGCATGCCATGAAGTTCAACACACTACCACACCTACATACTTGCAAACTAGCATACTACACATGCTCCGATTCAGAGGCTAGTACCAAATCTACCATGGTATCATCCTTGTTGACAAGGAACAACATGAACATCATCAAAGCTTACAAGCAACACCTATCATGCTACCAATTCATCAACACTAGCTACCAAAACATCACATTCTCATGGATCGACGGTCTATAGTGCTACCACATGCTCACATATCTAAGATAGAATTAGTAGGAAGGACGGACTGACCGAACTTACAACCATCGATTAAGCCCGATGGAGGCGTGGAACTGGTCGGAAACAGGAAGAAGACAAATCGTCGCCGTTGTCGACCGCCAGCCGAAGAAGACGTGTCGCTTACCTGCTCGTCGATGACGATCCGCGCAAAACGGAGAGCTCGAATGAGGGGGCGCGAGTTTGGGTCGTGAGCCGAGGGTGGCTGTATAGGGCGACCGATTCGGCAGGAGGTGGCCACAAATTCTTCCTGCAGATTTTTGGGGACGCGCACGATCTCGCACCATCTCCTTGCTCTCATGAGCTTGACGCCGTGTTCCCCTTCCTTGTATCGTCCGAGTTTGGCTGAGGGGAAACGGGCGATTCCACTGTTCCAACGAGCCTGCCTGGTAGGGTACTTTAAGTTTTGTGCTATGCTAACCAAACAGTGAATATAGGCTATCAAATAGGACATTTTTGCACCCCGTGGGTTTGGTTGGACCTAATGCAGGCTATCAAACATACCCTCGAAGACCAGCCCTACAGAGACGGGAGGAACGCGATAGATGGATCGATGAGGACGATGGCCAGTGTTTGCTCATATCTTTGAGGTGGGCTTTGAGAGAGGACCAACACATGTTTGATGCATGCTCACCGGCGATGGAATGTGACGCAACTGAAACATGTTTGATGCATGTTGGAGAGAGGACCAAACACACAAAAGTCATCTTCTACTCGCGAGCTTGAGCTCACGACCAACATCAAGCTCACAAAAAAATAAAAAAAATGGAAAAAACTGATTTTTTTAATGAATTTTGACAAATGTTTCAAGTGCTTGAAAATTTTCATCATGAAATGACATTCGCGGATGTCATTGTTGCCACCTCTTCCACGAATGTCATTCTTTGATGGAATTTTATGAGCACCGAAAACATTTATCAATGTTTGCTCTGGAATAATTCCAGAATTTTTTAAATTTTATTTTAATATTTTTGGATTTTACTGTTCACCTGAGCTAATTTGAGCTCGAGCTCGGAAATTCAGCGTCCACAAACACATCCTAATGCTTCAGCACATTTGTCGAGCGTGGAAAGTAAAAGAGCAACCCTGGTAACACAAATCATCAAACTATTACACTCGTTTAACTCAATCTGACAAAAGAATCGACGACGACGACGCACCTCGACACAGATAGACAGGTGCGTGCGTGCCGTGCTCCCGTAAACAGTACATTACAGTACAAAAGTAAAGCAAAGTAGAACAGCACAAGAGTACACATACGCATAGACGGACACAGAAAAAACAAACCTATGTTTTAGGTTGCGTCGCTGAACCTTGAGCTGGTTGGCATATGGGGGAAGGAGATTGATTTTATTGACTGACTCCGTCCGTCCTCGCCGCAAAACTGCCGCCGCGCTCACCTGTAGCTGCGGTAGAGCGGGGTGTACATGCAGCTCTCGGCGTACTTGAACAGGTCGTCGGGCCGCGGCAGCCGGCTGGCCAGGCCCAGGTCGTAGGCCTTGGCGGCCACCTTGGCGGCGATGCTGGCCGAGATCTTGCGGATGTTGGTGAAGGGCGGGAAGATGAGCCCCTTGTCGAAGTTCTCCTGGGTCGCCTCCTCCGCCAGCGCCTCCGCTGCACCCAGCCAAACCAAACACCATTCACCATCATCAGATTCAGATTCAGATTCAGTCACCAGCCGCCGCAAACGCGCGAGAGGAGATGCAGATACTTACAGGCGGCGAGGAGCATGTCGTCGTGGACGCGGATGGCGCCGGAGATGACGACGCCGAGGCCGAAGCCGGGGAACACGTAGGCGTTGTTGGACTGCCCGGGCACGTACGTCTTCCCCTCGTACTCCACGGGGTCGAACGGGCTGCCGCTCGCGAACACCGCCGTGCCCTTGCTCCAGGTGTAGGCCTCCTCGGCCGTGCACTCCGAGTGCGACGTTGGGTTCGACAGCGAGAAGATGACGGGTTTCTGCATTTCTCACACGGCCTCTGTTTAGCGTCTCTGCAGCTCGAATCAAGAAAGAAATGTGATAGGATTATCATGGCCGGACCAGCTGCGTACCTCGTTGAAGGAGGCCATGGCCTCGATCACTTCTTGGGTGAAGGTCTTCCCGACGCCGGAGGTTCCGATCAGCACGGTTGGCTTGATGGACTGGACGGCCTCCAGCAGGGTCTTCAGTTCTTCGTGCTCATGAGCGAACGGCTTCTTGAAGTGCTGCAGAGACTCTTTTCTGGACTCAACAAGCAGACCCTGCACAACACGAGCCCTACGTGTCAGAGACAAAACGTCGTGCTAAATCTTGCTGCAATTCCTGAGATGAGATGAGCGACCAACCTTGGAGTCCACCAGCCAGATCTTCTTGCGGCAGTCGTCCACCGGGAGTTCAGTCTGTAAAACTAACAATTCGACATCAGCGATACGTAATACACCATGGACTGGCTGATCCATAGGCAATGCAGAGCTTGCTGTCTTACGTGTTTCGACATCTCAAGAGCAATGAGCTCTGCAATGCCAGTTCCAGCCTCTCCAGCACCAAGGAAGAGGTAGGTCTGATCCACAAGGCCTCCACCGATCATCTTCAGGGCCGCCAAGAGGCCTGCGAGGACCACTGATGCTGTGCCCTGCAACACCACCATTTCTGTTCAGTGCCTCTGGAGATAATAAAGACAGTAATGCTTCACCTTGTGATGACTTGATACCAACAGTACGGGAATGAATGAAGCACCTGAATATCATCGTTGAAGACGAGATGGCTCTTGCTGTACTTTGCGAGCAAATCGAATGCATTGTGGTTGGCAAAGTCCTCAAACTGGACCAGGACTTTCTCGCCGTAGTTTTGCTTCACTGCATTCATGAACTCTTGAAGAAGCTCATGGTATTCCTGGCAGCCATGAAACAAACACAAAGTTCAGCATCATCGACATGTCAAAAGAGTCTAGTAGACTGCTGCGTACAGCCATCGGCATTACCTCGCCGGTAGCACGCCGTTGACGGAGCCCGATGTAGTACTCGTCGTTGAGCAATGTCTCATTGTTGGTGCCAACATCGATGGTAATTGGCAGGCACTGCATCACGATCATTACATTGTTAATACTGTATAAATCAGTCAGCAGAGCGATCCACTGGTTTTGATCCTTGCATGCTTTCAGAACATTCAGAACCACACTTACAGCTGATGGGCGAACTCCTCCGAGGGCGGTGTACAGAGACAGTTTGCCAACCGGGATACCCATACCCTGCACAAGATCATCATAACATGCATGAGCATTAACAATCAGGAAAAGGTTTTTTTAAAGGAATCAGAAAAAGGTTGGTGGTGCATCATCCTTGAACATATTGATACCTGGCAGCCCAGATCTCCGAGCCCCAAAATGCGCTCGCCGTCGGTGACGACGATGACCTGGATGCTCCTCTCAGGCCAGTTCTTGAGCACCTCGAGCACCTTGCCCCTGAAAAGTGCTTGACATGTCAGACATGTACGCCAGTCTTGAACAGTTTACTGTCAGAGAGAAACGCACAGCGCTAGAGAGAGAGGGAGAAGAGAGAGAGAGAGAGACGCACTTGTCCTTGAGGCTGATGTAGAGCCCCTGCGGGCGGCGGTAGATGCTGCCGTACTTCTGGCAGGCCTCGCCGACGACGGGCGTGTAGACGACGGGGAGCAGCTCCTCGACGTTGTCGATGAGGAGCTTGTAGAAGAGCCTCTCGTTCCTCTCCTGGAGGTCCATCATGGCGACGTAGCGATGCAGGGGCACGGTGTAACTGCGGAGGTTGTGCATGATCTTCTTCTCCTGGTGCTCCTGGGAGACGATGGCCGGCGGGAGGAGCCCCCGGATGTAGTGCGCGTCGCGCTCCGCCTCGGTGAAGGCCAGTCCCTTGTTGTGCCGGGGGTCCCTCAGAAGCTGGTGCCCACTGTTGGTTGATTGCACGCAAGGAAAATGTCATCATGCATGTGTTAACGTCAAGAAACAGAGTAACGCAGACGAGAACTTTCAGCGCAGTGGTAACAAGGCAGGAGCAGGATATCCCAAAACGAAGAAAATATTTTGGCAGGCGTGAGGAAGGAAGGAAGGAAAAGATGGGTTTACAACCGTGCCCTAAATAGTCGCGATCGCAATAGTAAGTTGCCGACCAAATCCTAAGTCACACGAGACCACAACCGAAATCGCATGATCTCGCCGTGCCGATGCGGATCACCGCGGAAACACACGCACCGACGCACGCACGCACCATCATAATTTCTCAAGATAGCGGAGGTGGAATTGCCATGGAACTTCATTTCCGGCCGGAGGGGGATCTGCCGTAAGAGTGGCTTGGATCACGAAGCAGAACATGTCGGTTTTGGTTAGCGGCATTACCTTGCGACGGAGAATGACCATGGCGTGATGAGCTGCTCCTCGGTGGCCCTGTCCTCGCCGTAGACGTCCTCGACACCGCCGCCCGCCATCTCCTCAAGCTCTCAGCTCTGGCGAACGCACGGACGGAAGAAGCGCGATGCGTAGCGCAGGATTGGGTTTGATTTGAATCGAGCTCTTGTCCTTTTTTAATGTCCTGGGATGGGATGCGGTGGATGGTGTGGAGACGGGAGGGAGCAGCGTTGCCTATTTATAGAGGCCCCGTGGCCGCCGGGGAGGGCCCGCCAGGCAGAAGGAAGGGGAGCGGAGGGCGCGCCGTGGGAAAGGGAGGAATGGTCGGGGACGCGGATGGTGAGAGACAGAGAGAGGGAGAGACGAAGGTTCCTTCCCCGGTTGGTTCGGTCGTTGCCCATGACAAAGACAAGGGGAAACGAGGGGACTAAACAAACTCTTCTTTATTATATGTACTGATGTACACAATACAAAAAGGAAAGAAGAGGGAAACGAACATGGAGGGCAGCAGCCTCGCTCGGCTGCGGATTGAAGAAGGTGGTCGGCGCGGGGCACTTGGAATGGAATACTAGTATAGTCTCCTGCTCAATTGACAATTGTACACACACCCCTAGGCCCCATGGGCATACGGCTTGCTACCGGGCTAGTAGTAGTAGTAGGTGCGCGCGTCCCTCTCCCTCCGGTGGAACCGCGAGATAGGAGTGAGACACCATGTCGACTAGCTATGGTCGGGGCCAAGAGCACACCATGAGTGGGAAGGGTGAGGTGGGAGAAAGGGGAACAAAAAAAAGCTTAGAGCATCCATAGCAACGATGTGCCAAGAGCGTCTACAACTGGACTTTGCAAATTCGGTCTCTCAAACATACATGAACGTGATTAGGTGCTTCTGCAGTGATCGGTTATGTCTTAAATTAGTCACTCTACATCTCACTCTCTCATATTTCAACATCTCTGGTTTCAAAAAAAAAATCAACATCTACATCCACACAAAGCATGCAAAAAAATGCTACGTACTACATACTATGCACTACCCTATCTACCCTTCGTCGTCGGAGATGTCCGTGACGACGGTGCCGGGCACTGGCTGGATGGGCGGGTAGGAGGGCTCCGGCTCATCCTCCTCCTGCTCGACCTCACCCATGTAGGCGAGCATCTCAGCCTCCTCCGCCGACTTAAATAGCCGGGCTAGCCACTACGCGACCCGCCGGTGCGCCACACGGCACCACCGGTCCGACGGAGGAGACGAGCTTCGGACCGCCGGGATTTCGGGTGTTTCCGTATGGGACCATGCCGTCAGTCCAACGTGGCGGGTGTGCCCGGGCGCCCCCATATCCGCCTCATATATGAGCTGGATATGAGGGGTCAGTCTGGGCGTTTGAGGCCCGTTTGAGGGGGTCGTCTGAGTCAAGAAATCGTGACCAGTCAGTGCCCGGGCTGGCGGCTCGGGGTGTTTGAGACCGGTTTGGGGCGCCCGGCTATAGATGCTCTAATTCGGCCTCTCAAATGCCTGCGGACGCGCCTAGGCGCATCCGCGGTACTGATCGGGCACTCCTCATATTTCCCTTTTCACATCCACGTATCTCATATTCGGCACCCTATATCCATACTATACATGCAACGTGAGTTACTCTACATGATCAAACAAACGGGTAACAAAATCGACTGCAAACGAACAACAAAATCAGCTGCAAAACGGATATAAAAGAGCTTCACATCATCCACAAGATCATCTGAGTTCGTCGTCGGACAAGTTCTTAAGCATCAACAACTAAAAATGATATAAACATTGGAGGAGGAGCGACATCACAACTTCCGCGTTGGGCCTTTGCCCTTCCAGTCGCCGGCGCAGCTATAGGCGTCTGCGGCTAGTGGAGGATCTTGGTCGTCGTCGGAGGAGGTGGAGCTATCGTCGTTGTCGGTGTCGTATGAAGAGGAAAGACGATCAGCCCCTTCATCCGGCGGGCGGCCTTTTTCGGTTGTTGCTTCAGCTTGGCAAGCCGAGTCGCCTCCGCCGCTGCCTCCTTCGCGTCGAGCTTTGCCGACATCCTACGGCGACGGTGCACGGACATCTCCTTGCCCGCTGCCTCTCACGGCACTCTATGGGCGCCTCTGATTCCGGAGTGCGCGTGCGGGCCGGTGGCGCGGGCACTAGCACCCACCGCTGCCGGCATGGAGGAGCGGACGGGAGAAGAGGATGGCGTCGGGATGGCGCGGACTATGCTATCTTGCCGGAGCTGAGCGTGGGCTCGGAGGGTCCATCTCCAACATCCACGTTGCGCTGGCACGGGAGCTGTGGCGACGCTGCAGATCTGGAGCTGCCCCTGGTGTCAACCTTGGACAGCTCCAAGGCAATGCGGGGGCCGCTCCTTGTCGGAGTCGAGGTCGGAGCAGGAGTGGCTATTGGAGCTCGACATCGCGCCGGATATGATCAGAATGCAGGAGGGAGGAGGACAGGATGGAGCAAGAGAGGCGGGTGGAGTGAACCAGGGTTCGAAGTTGGAAGCCGGATTAGGGATTTTGTGGGACACATGTGGGGTCAGTGGTGGGCCGACCTGTCAAGCGGACGCGCCCGGGTGTGCCTAGGCTGCCCAATATCCGCCCTAGATTTGGGCTGGATTTGAGGGGCGCTGGACAGGCCAGGCGTTTGAGGCCGTTTTGAGTCGCCCGAATGGGTCGATGTTTTGTGACCGGTTGGCCCGCCAGGGCGTTTGAGATGTGTTTGGGGCGCCCGGGTGTAGATGCTCTTATGATCCTTGATTAGGGTGACTAGGGTTAATCATAGGGCTCAAGACCTCGAATGTAAAGGTGGCGATGAGAGCCCCTTGGCTAGCAGAAGATGAGACGGTACCCTAGAATGCATGAGTAGTGATATTTCCATGTTGTCGGCCATGGTTCAAGGGTGGCGTGACCACCGTGATGGCAAGAGATAAGTGTCACAATGTCGGTCGTTTGTGGATGATGACCATGGTTGGAAGCATGACCACTATGGAAAGAGGCAAATACCATAGCATCGGCAATCGTGCTGAACTAGATGTTTGAAGGTCTTTATCGGTGTGAAGGCCCTAAACTTTAAATTGGCCAGGTGAGCATGGTGGCCACCCACAAGCAACCAAATTTTCTTCAATGCGCACATGTGGCACTATTACCCTCTTCTCGTGTTCCGGGAGAAACCCTAAATCAAAACCCGCAGATCGGGTGACAACATTTTGTAAGGCTTGCTTTTCTTCAAGGTGTTGGTCTGGAGTACTTTCCTCCCATGCATTGTTGATGGGCGGCCGACGGTGGGCGCGATTGTGTTTTGTAGTTGCGGGAACTGCCTTGAGAGGGGCCCTCATTTTGGATTATGTCTTATCGTCGATGCGCCTTTTTCTTAAGCTCGTTTCCAAGGGAAGCTCTCAAAAGCAGACATCACCGGGAGATAGGGGTCCTATGCTCCTAGGCGACTGCATAAGCTATACAATGTTACAACTCTCTATTGATGCATGTCTTCAGTCCTTCCTATTTGCAAAATCGCTTCTAACCGACAACCTTTTTTCATGGCAACTATAGCAACGACTAGCCGGCAATAGTGCCAACCTGGCACCCTTGTAATTTTCCACCATGCCCGTACCTGAACCAATTCTGACTTTGCAATGGCCGGGCATCCCATTAGCTTCAAGACAAGGCATACAATTCGTCACAACTCCAACAGTCGCAGACAATGTTGGGAATCTCTCTAGTGCCGGACATGCCCACCAACTGTTCGACAATATGCCTCAATAAAACAATCATGCTTTTTTTGCCCCATAGCATTTAGCGAATCAATTTTAGGATGGCAGTTTCATTGTGATGCACCTTTAGGACTCATTTATAATGGATATGATAAATGACAGTCAAGATCCTCCAAATTATGAGATGTGTGATCAAATTTTGTCTTTGTTTGATGTTGGGAAATCGTCGAGCGCTCAAGGAAAAGAAGCAGGTGGAGGCAAGAGAAAATTCTTACTCAACCCATGAAAATGCCATGTTATGTAATGCTTAGTTGGGCACGAAACATGGATCATGTATGTGAAACCGAGTAAAAGGGTTCCAAGTATTGGTAAAACATCCACCCATGGTACGTTGAACACAAGCGCTACGTGGAGAAACATCCGATCCACCACTCGCAAGGAGTGTTGTCTCCAACATAGATGGTCCGGAATCCAAGAGTCTATGAACAAGGTTCGAAATTTCTATGCACAAGTGGTGAATAAGCACCAAAGTGGTATTGGAGTCGATAGCTATGTAAGTTTTGTTAGCTTCACATTGGTCATCATCTTTCTTGCTTGCTTCCTTTATCCCAGTATGTTGACGTGTGATTTTTGCTTGCTAGATGGGGTTTGCCGCCACTTTGTACCATCAAGTTAAGAAAAAAACCATTCATCGTGTGCCATTGTTGGATGGAATTGAATGAAAAACCAAAGTGGTCCAACCTCTTTTGAGATCTTAAAAACCCTATCAAGAAGAAGAACAACGATGGCACAAGCTCTAACCAATCTATTGGATTGGATGACGGTGATGAGTCACGTGGAAGGGCGGGCAGACATGGTACTGAGCCAAAAAGGAATAGTCACTTGAGGGGCACAAAGTGGGAGAAGGATAGGGTTGCATATGATGGTGCACAAGCAAAATGTATGGCACATGGACAAACATCTTTTGCAACAAGAGGCAGACACTGAAGAAAATTGAGGAGAAAAGGGAAGCAAAAGGAGGGGGAGAGGTACACGCTCTTTTTGGATGTGCAAAGGAAGATGTTGGAGTTCAATCAGGAGAGGCGCGGAAGAGTATGAACATTGAGAGGGGAGGATAGACATGGAGAAGCAAGAGAAATGACAAAAACTGAAAATTGAAAATGCGAAAACACACGAGGCAATTGAGCTTATGAAAGAGAAGATGAGGCTCGCGAGGATCATGGAGGAGTCAAGGATCAAGTTGAGCGACACAAGCATCATGGATGACAATTGCAGTAAGTGCTTCATCAACAAAAAGAAAGAGATCAACAACCACAACAACAGGGGTGATTGATTTCTTCATTTATTCTATGTATAAATTGTTGAGTTTT